TTTATTGGTCTCCCAACATCTGCTGCCTGAAGCAGGCCAGCTTGCCTCTGTAGTCTTTCTCTTTCTTTGGCATTTTAAAAGTTTGTTTTTAAGTCACAGAAACAAAACAAGAAAAAGAAAGAGCAGAGGAGAAGGAATGATTTTGTCCTGCCTTATGAGTTTATTTGGATACTTTCTAAGCTCCTGGCTGGAACTTTAATTTTCAAATATCACCAATGAAAATGTAATTCTTTTTGTTGTCCTAGATGTTGTGTTATTCCTCAGTGAATAAAAATGATTATGAGGATAATTATAAATAGAATTATTTCAGCTCCATTTGAAGAAAAAAAATAATGCCAAAAATGCAGCTCTAAATGTCTACTGGGATTTTGGCAATTTCTTATCACTCGGTTGCAGAGGCTCTGAAACTCTTATCTCAATAGACCAGATTACTTGGCTGATCTCCTCTCCATGCTGAGTAGAAATCACACGGCCGTTTTACCACTGTCAGCCATTTGCACATTTTCTATCCCGATAAATCAATTAATGGGATGCAGGATGATTCATTCAGTCCCTCTTGCATTCAGCCTGTTTTTTCTTTTCTTTCCCTCCCTCCCATGTTTTAATACCATCTAAGGGTCCTTCCCTAGAAGAGGACTTGTTCACCATGCAGGTGCAAAGCATTCAGCGCTGCAGCCTAACAGCAATAAACCCTTTCTGTCCTCCTTAGGGTTTCCCTTTGTTGAAATACTTTTTCCTTTTGTTTCTTCCACCCCTCCCCTCGTCCTTTTCAAATGTATGGCTCCATGCAGTTAATCTGATTATGTTAATTTGGACTTCATGATCCCAAAGACTACATTGGGATCTATAGATAGTGCCCCACACCAGGAATAGGTAGAAGATGGTGGTGGCAAGGGAGGACAATGTGCTGTTAATAAGGAAGCAACTTCTGTTTTGGAAGACAAAGCCTCTGATGATATTGAGAGTGTTCCAAACAGGCTGGAGTTCAATTATGTAGGGAAGTTGTGATGGTCAGTTTATGGAGAGAAGCATAATGTTAACATTGTTTCCTGTTTACATGTTCTTTTTCTTTCCTTAGCATAAAAATAATGAGAAGTCTAATCCTTGTCAACTCTCAGCATGCATATCAGTGTGGACCCCAAACCAGACTGAACATTCAGTCTTCCTTAAAGACGTTCACACATTTCTCATTGGAATAAAGGGAAGATGGCAACTTACGCCACCCACAAAGGCTGACATCTTGTGAAAGGGCAACGTCTTCTGAGTTTTGGTAGGATTTTGCGTGGGAACAGTGGAAGTTTGTTTCTGAAAACTATCATCTTACATTTTCTCTTTGATGAGGCAGATATTAACAGCAACAACAGAATCAGTTTTATTTGTTCACCCAATTATTTTCAACATAAACAGACAACAAAGACCTCCTGAAACTTAGTGTATATATAATAGTTTTGAAGATATGAGTCTCGGGTATATTCATATTCAAAAACTAAAACACAGATCATCGAGACGCTAAGTTTTTAAATAAATTCCTTAGTCTCAGTAATCTGTGTTTTAGTTTTGAATATATCTTTATTCACAGCCCCAGGGAAGGAGGACATGACTTTTAGGACATAATAGGATTAACCCACCACCATCAGAATACCAAAAAGGCACACTCAGACTCAGGTCAAAGTTCATGCCACAGGAACAACTCCAAACAAAAGGCTCCAGAGGATATAAAAACCCACTCCCTACATGTGCTCATTCTCTTTCTTCCAGACCATCTTTCTGTCTGGCTCTCCTCTTCAATAAACTGCAACCTTCTTCCTAAAGCAGTCGCCATGTTGTTTATCCCCAGCTTGGACTGAACCATGATGAAGACTTTCCTTAAACACTATTCAAGTTATAATTCCTTATACAATGTATATTGCATCTGCAGCATTGTATAGTCTGGCTACCACATTTGGGAAAAAAGTATATAATAAGGGGCATTAAAATTAGAGGAACCAAACATAGCTCTTTCAATAGAAACTGAGAGTATTTGGGATTCTTCAGGTTAAAAAAAAAGACAACTGCTGGCACGAACTTCACTGATTTGTGTAACATCACACATTGTATAGAGAAATGGAGAAAGAGGCATCTTATTGTCTTTTGACACATTAATTCCAGGAGCCTTCCAATGAAACTGATTGGAATAAGAACTAGAACAGGTAAACTATGCATACGGTGCACAAAAACCTTTAAAAATTCATCAGCTCAAGACATGGTGTGGGCTATTTATCTGGATGGTTTTAAAGAGGATTTTTTAAAATATAGATTATTCATAGAACTTGTATCTACTCAGGGCTATTGATCCTGAAGACTCAACTCACCTTCAGATTGGGGCAGCAAGCATTCAGATTTAGGAATGCAGAAGGGTAGCTTTTCACTTCCTACTTGTGAGTACCACATAGATATTTGGCTTGCTACTGTGAACAACAAAATGCTTAACTAAAATGGTCCTTGGCTTGATCCAGCAGGCCTGTTTTTACAGATGAAGAGTGCTTTAGAGTTTTGGCTGAGCCAATTAAAATATATTGCCCAGGGATCTACTGTGAACAAGATACCATCCTATCTCAACTGCTAGGATAGAGTGTAGTCCATATTTGATCTCAAGCTGGCAGTGTTCACGTCTTTCTTCTTTCTTTGATCTTCTGCCTCAGTCTTGCTTCACCTGTGAGCAGAAGTCAGACATAATTGGATTTATATTTCCTATGTGTACATCTATTGCCACTCAGTGGAAATCAAGCAGAACTGCAAAGAACATGATTTTGTGCTTTTATGATGACTGCAAACTTAATGTCTGATATAATTATTCAAGATCCACTTTTCAGTTATGGATGAGGCTGGCATTGCAACTTATCGAATAAAAGGGGAAAGAAAGAATCCTGTTTAACATTGCTGGGTAAAGAATAGGTATAATTAATCAAACTGATTACAGACGAATCTGCTAAATGACCTACAATCAGTGCTCAAGAAGATTAAGAGAATTTCCTCTAATAACAAACATGACATTTGACTTACAGCATTTTTTATGTTAATGATTATGGTCATAGACAAATATTTTATTGGACTACATATCTTAAAGAAGTAGCTTCAATTTTTATGCAGAAATAGGATTTTAAATATATCTGTACAAGAAGTTATTATGCTACTGCCAACTGCTATTTATGCATGTTAAGAGCCTGTTCTGGAAGCACCCAGATTCCAAATCTCAATTGTTCATTTCAACAATAAATTATGTTGTCTCTACATATGTAGTTTAGCAAGGTACATGTATAGTTTAGCAAAGAATGTATCTGACTAGGACTTCAGTGGGACTCGTAGCCACTGCACAGGTCCCAAAATATGGTATTAACGAAGTGACAAAAATAAGGTTAACGTATCTTTTGTACTTTTTATAACCCATTTGTATTCTGAGAGCTCAGTAATGAATGCATTTTTTTTATAAAGGTAGAGTCATCATCACCTAATAGCTACATTGTTTGACAGATGAGAAAAAAGGGGCTTCTGAAGGGATAAAGAACTAGATAGCCCATCCTCGTTGTTTCAGCCAGCCAAACGTCTAACTAGGTGAAAGCTCTACCAGATAGCTTGCATCTGAGCTGGCATGCTGAGAATTGCATTTGTTAGAACACATCACTTCGCAGGAACTTAACCTTTTATTCATGAGAGCCAGTTTGGAGTTGTGGTTGAAATACCAGGCTAAGTCTAGTACTGAGTTCTAGTTTCCTGCCTGAGCAGGGGATTTGACTAGAAGACCTTTAATGTTCCTTCCAACTCTTGTCATTCTATATTCTGTATTCAGTTCTGCTTTAGGCACAAAACTGGGTAACCTTGCTCCAGTCCCTCTCTCAGCCCTAGGAAGCAGGCAATGGTAAACCACTTCAGATATTTTACTAAAAAAATACTGCAAGGACTTGTCCAGACAGTTGCCAGAACACTAAAACAACTTTATTCAGTGCTCTGCTGTGCCTTGGTAAGAGTCTCTCTAGACTCAAGTAGCACTTTGCAAAACAGAGTGAACCGTTACACACTGGACTAGAAATACCAACCAAAGCAATTACGGGACAGGTATCAAAGTCTGTGATTTGTAGCCCAGAACGTCCAAAAGGCATCAACCCAGTAATAGAATAACAGAGTTGGAAAGGGACCTTGGAGGTCATCTAGTCCAACCTTCTACTTAAGCAGGAGACCCCCTACCATTCCAGACAAGTGACTGTCCAGTCTCTTCTTAAAAGCTGCTAGTGATGGAGCACCCATAAATTCTGGAGGCAAGCCATTCCACTGGTTTATTGTTCTGTTAGGAAATTTCTCCTTAGTTCTAGGTTGCTTCTCTGATTAGTTTCCATTCATTGCTTCATGTCTTGCCTTCTGGTGCTTTAATAGGTTGACCGGTGAAGTCTATAATGCCCTGTATAGGAGGTGGGTGGGATCTTTTTAATATAGTGTAAGTACGGTTATATTGTAGCTTTCGCTCCTTTTATCTCGATTTTGCGATAGTCACTTTGTTTTCAAGACAAGTGATAGATTGAACCTAGACCGGCAGTTAGTAACTACTCTTGCTGCTTCTCAGGGATCTCAACGAGAAACGCACCCACCGATGACCGTAGCCCAAAATGCGCGCTCCTGCTACCTGCAAATCACTTAACTCTCGGCAATTCTTGTGTTCTCAGCCCGCCTCCAAAGCTGAGCCAATCGCCTTTCAGCCTTGGACGACGTTAGACTCGAACCGAGCCAATCATCCCTCCGCTCGCGGCGCGAGCTTCTTTCTTCCGCCCTCCCTACTGACGGCAGTTTGGCCTACGAGCAAAGATGGGCGGATTTTTAATTTGCCTAGCCGCATTCTGGCACGCGGCAATAGGCCGTGGCGCACGGGGAGGGCGTTAGAGTCGCCTGTAACCCCGCCTTTTTAAAATTGGTCCCGCCCCCTTCTCGTGCAAACTTACCTTGGCGTTTTCGCACGCTGCTTGACAGTGTTGGCGCATGCGCGCCAGAAGCTGTGGCGATGGAGCTCTTGGGGGATTTGCCGCTGCGCTTCTCTCGGTTGCCCATGTTTCCCTTCTTTGACTTAGCGCACTACACCGCTTCCATCCTGTCTCTGAAGGAGCAGCGGGGTGAGTGAGTAAGTAGGCCGAGGTCCGGAGTAGAAAACTTATTTTTAGTTCTAGGAATTCCGGAAGGAGCAACCATAGCTCCTGAGCATGTCCAGAGTCAACAAGGTTTCCTAAGGTGCGACCAAGGGTTTACAACTCACCCTTGTTTAACATGAAGACTACTAGATTATGCTGAAGGTAGTTAACACATTTTCCAGATAAAAATTAAACTTCCTATTTTTTGGGTATTTGGAGGATTGGTTATTATGGATGGACAAAATGGCTATTTTTACTTATACTTATATAATTAATGTATTAACTTTGACATTCATGAAATGTATTGATGAACAAACACGTAGAAAATCCCCCCCTTTTAAAAAAAAAGTATACCTTGTTTTCGGTAACTTTCACAGTTTTACAAAGGTTCAAATTATAATTCTAATAAAATTATAAAACATTCTTTATAAAGCATACGAATACATCAATACTGTACTCTTATTATTTTTTTAAATCCCCCCCTTTTAAAAAAAGTATACCTTGTTTTCAGTAACGTTCACAGTTTTACAAAGGTTCAAATTATAATTCTAATAAAATTATAAAACATTCTTTATAAAGCATACGAATACATCAATACTGTACTCTTATTTATTTTTATTTTTTTTAAAAAAAGATCAACTACTTCGGGAAATAATACAAGTTTCTGTCTGATGTTAAAAGGACGTCAGTAATATTACGAAAGCAATATAGGCTATGTATTTGGATCACAAATAATTTCATATACATTTGATGAAAAAAAAAATCCTTAAACACCTATCAGTCAGTGGCTTAGCTGGAAGGATTTTATTTATTGTACTGTGTCATGTTTTTTTGAGAGTAAAACTTCACATAGTTTTTGCGAGCTATTCATTATTTATTTGAATGTTTTTAAAAAGAGAGGATTAGAAGATCTGCAATGATTAGCCAGCAGTGCTAGGTGGAAATTATCTTGTGTAAGTTCAGTATAAAGTAAATGGCTTACCAAAGGCACTTGGTGTTACTTTTAGAAGCAGAATATGGGGCAAGAGAGATGTTTGACCAACTCAGTGGAGTTATTTTTATGTATCATCCACTAGGAAATAATCTGTGAGATAATTTTCTATTTTTAATGCATGCAGAGTATTAGCTTCATTTTTTTTTAGCAGAATGACAAGGTAACTTGAGGTAATATCAGAAGACAGCAAATTTGGGGGAGTTATTTCATAAGAATAGCCATACATTTGCCTGTTTCATCTTTCAAACAGGTAAATGTATTTGCTCCGATTTGACTCATTTTTTCCCTCCTTTACAGCTAGTCCTCAATTTAGCACCACAATTAAGGCCAACATTTCTGTTGTTAAGTGAGACACTTAAGTGAATTTGCCCCATTTTACGATCTTTCTTGCCAAACCTGTTAAGCAAATCACTGCAGTTAAGTTAATAACACCTTTGTTAAGTGAATCTGGCTTCTCCGTTGTCAGAAGATGGCAAAAGGTGATTTATATGACCCTAGGACACTGCAACAGTCATAAATATGAGTCAGTTGATAAGCTTTTGAATTTTGATCAGGTGACCATGGGGGACTGTTCCAAGGGTTGTGTGAAAAATGGTCATAAGTCACTTTTCTCAGTGCCCTTGTAACTTCAAATGGTCACCAAATGAACAATTGTAAGTCGAAGACTACCTGCATTGTTCTGGATGTATATTTTCACACACACTGTAGGTAGGGTTGGTCCCCATTTTGTTGCTTTTTGGAAAGGCCCTAAAAATGTTTTGTCAATATGTCATGAATGAAGATGGAGCAGACTGATTTGTTGTGTTGTTGCTGCCATGGGCAGGAGTGGGTTTTTTTTAAAAAAAAGTTTATAGTGTGATGAATTTTTAAATGTTGCCAAACACTCAGAATTATCTATGTCTAACTTGGGCAGTTATGTAAATGTGTTTACTAAATTAAATAAATGTTCTCTTGGAGAAGGGGAAACAAGGCAGAAATTGCAATATTTAGTAAAGGCCAATGATTCTTGGAATTTGGTTGTCAACACTGCTATGATATTAGTGTGTGCACACATACACATATCCTCTGTCATAATCTATCTAAATTGAATTTTGCTTCTCGAAATGATCTGTCCCATTCCTGATTCTGTCCCTTGGCCACCTAAGATGGAAACCTTTAGTGACTTACTTCTTATCATTATGGACTGGAGCTCAAAGTTCAGCTATAAATTCAGAGTCAATTTAGGTGAGAAAAATGCCACCTCACATTATGACGAGAAAAGATCTCTCTCTCTCTCTCTCTCTCTCTCTCTCTCTCTCTCTCTCTCTCTCTCTCTCTC